AATTTAACCGAATACTGCTACATATTTTACCATTTTCTATTATATTTCACATTTTAAAGACCAATCCTATTGTCTCCGGGTGATATAATCATTTATAATTAGTGGCATTAACTTATAACCAGTTTTTAAAAAAATAATACCAAACAACATCCTTTATTGGCTGAATTATATTATATCTTTTGACTAGTAGCCTAGAGCTCGATTTATCTTATATTTCCCATCAACTAATGATACTAATAAACAGACTTGGCCACGATTTATATCAAAGATAGCGCAAACATTTTATCTTGCTTTCATCTTTACAAACATTTGGTACATGTAGACCTATATCTTTTCAAAACAAAACAAGGACATTAATTAAATTAGGATCAGTAATGATGTTGATCAAGGTAATAGACTGGTTTATGGTGGAAAGTAAACGCGTGTAAGGATTGTAGATGTAGTGCGGTTAAGTATGTAATCTAATTTCGAATACTGTTATATTCATGGTGGCCATGCACAGATACGGCCTAATCATATTATATATTATGTTGTACACCTCAGCTAAGTTTACATCAAGGAGATTCCATACATGCTTTTCGTGTGGGAGCCACGGTAGCTAAGTGGGTAAGACACTGGCTCGCTAGTCTGGAGGTCGCGTTTTCGATCCCTGCATTGGCCAAGAAAGTTCATAGGGATTTGCCGACGTGGTTTCCCCGTGTCAGTGGTGCAGGACGGAGGGCATGCAAGGACAGCTGTCTAGTCGTTCGGATAGAACGAAAAACCGAGGTCCCGTGTATACCGTGGCGTGCAGGTAAAAGATCCCTTGGCAGTTGATCTTCGATATAAGAGTAAGACATAGTGCCGCTACCCGGGCAAAATTCCCCTCATAGCATACTGTATGGCGTATGTCCGTCTTCATTAGCCACGTCGATGTAGGAAAGTAGAACCTTAAACCCGATTTTATTTCTTATTCTAATTGATATTCATTGCTTTGGGATACTTTTCCTCTTTCAAATGGGGTAACTTTGACATGCTTCTGTTTCACTGTCATTTTGGAACTATAGTCAGCGCCCAGTAGTAATATGTTGGTAAGGTATGATCACCGACTAATTGGTGCTTATCAGTCACTGCTTCTGTGACATCATCTATAGTTCCACAGCTGCCGGGGTAGAAACTCATATTCTTTTTGGCATTTTACCTGGTGCGAAATTCAATTATAATCGGAGTTGCGGTGATTCGATCCCGGTGTTGAAAGGGAAATTTCCTTGGGATTTTTAGCGTGGTTTCCCCTTGTCAGTGATATACGACGGTTAGTCTTGCAAGCGTCTAGTCGCTGGTATGGGACGAAAAACACATGTTGGTTAAATTTTTCGACCAGTTTGTACTGAAAATATGGATTTTATAAGGCAATATAAAGCATAAATTTTAAGACAACATCGACGAAAAAATAAATAATAATAATATAAACTTTAGCAGTGAAGACTACCGATTCATATATGAAAGGCCAACGGGTAAAGAGTGGTGAATTATCCCCCCTTATCATCAAAAGAAATCTTTTCTGTGATAGTGCAAATTAAAAGTCTGTCAATGAGTCAGTTGGCGTGGTTTCGATTCCCCGCTTGTACGTGACAAAAAGCAGGGTCGCCTATCTAACCTCATGGGTTTTATTCGGGTACCCAGTTTTCTTCCCACAGTTCTCTTTCTAACTCTCAAACGTGATCCGTTGTTAGTAAACTGCTATCCACATTAAATTTCTTACAATCTTCTTGATAGCAATATGTATTTGTAAATTAATTCAAACCGTGAATTTCAACTTATGTTACCAGCAAGACGCTGGCTCGCTAGTCTGGAAGTCGGATGTTCGATCCTTGCATTGGCCGAGAAAGTCCATCCAGATTTTCCGACGTGGTTCTCCCTTGTCAGTGTAGCAGGACGGAGGGCCTGGCAAGGACAGTTGTCTAGTCGTTCGAATGGGACGAAAACCAAGGTCCCGTATACACATTGGCGTGCACGTAAAAGATCCCTTGACAGTAGGTTGTAGTGCCGCTGTCCGGGCAAAATTTTCTTCATAGTCCACAGTATGGCGTATGGCCGTCTTCATTAGCCCAGTTCGGAGCAGAACAGTAGTACGTTAAACCCCATTTCATTTCATTTGCACTAACCATTTTGCGAACAAATTTTATGGTCTGCGGTAGAACTTTTAAGTTTTTGGAACATGCAAACTGGTTGGTTGGTCCACATTAAGTCCCTTTAAGAGTAATGCTACTAATTGCGTTCCCACTGATTTTAATAGGTGGTCTGTCTTGGTATATAACCTTATTTTTACCAACAGGTCACAGTTATTTGACCAAATCCCCTTAAAACACATCTAGCTCACAGGGAGTGGGAAAACTAGGCCTCTCTGAGTATCCCGAACCCCGACAATTCTTTATCAAGTGAATCGTGTGAGAATAGGTAACTCAAAATGGTCTTGCAGCAAACAAGAGTGATCTACCTTGAATGTGTTCAGAAGTGATAATGTAAAACTAATGTTAGAAGCTAACGATAATGTAAAACTACGTTGTACTGCCCCGTTTTGTGGACATCTTTCTCTTTTTACATCTGAAAATAATGTAGTACGTTAAGCCTCATTTCATATCACTATTATAAAGATCAAATTCTAGCTGATTAATTATAATATGCCAAGCCATAAGCCATAAGGATCGTTAATTGGGTTGAATTGGTACGGTTGTTGTCATTTACTAAATTGAACAATTTATCCAGACAAATGAAACGACATTTTTCAAAATTTACTCCGGTAAATCATCTGGTATAATTCGATCAAGCGACCGATATTAATTATTAATAATCTAAAAAATAGGCCAACATTGTATTGGCGCGGGCAACTTCAATAGGTGTATATTTTATTGGCTTGAAAAACTTCAAAAAGCTTAGTGGCGCCAGGCAGGGTAAGCTTACTCTTCCGGACACCTGTTACCACTGTTTGCCGTTTACACCATTTTTTGCCAATACGGTTTTTAGGACTTCTAATTTTGTCTAATGGTTTGGATTGTTCGTACTTGGTTTTATTTTATTAGAAAATAAAAGAAAATGGGTCACCACTCAGTGTGTATTGTATTGGCGCGGGCAATTTCAATAGGTGTGTATTTTATTGGCTTGAAAAACTTCATATGGCTTAGAAAATAAAAGAAAAGATTGATATAGCCAGACTTCCAGACATTTTAAAATATAAACGCAGTGCGTCTATGCCTCTCGACGTTATTTTCATACAAGAGTTTATTTTTGGTGAAATAAATCAGTAATCCTCACTATTTCTGTCAATCCACTAAAATAGGATATTGAATCAGGAAGTTGAATAATGTTTCTTAATTTCTGAGGAAGTCGCTTCAAATTGCTTGCACATTAAAGAGAATGTCCGAAAGTCTCAAGGACTGTCAACAATAAAGAACTGCCGGAATAATTAAAGAGTGTAGCGAATCGAATCCAATAAAGTATTTCATTTCTGTACATTGCTGCCAAATCCCAACACTGTGGAGTAATTAGAAATTTGTAGTGCACGACTAATAGTACATACAGAACCCTGTGCTCGGGTTTAAATATCACATGGACCTATCACCGGAAGTGCTGGGAAAGTTTGTAGGCCGTGCACCCAGAGAATACTTTGGGAAATTGTTCTCATTTAGTGCAACCCAATTGCATTTGTTAGCAAGTTTTGTTCGAGTGGCTGGATCAGGCCCGTAGCCAGGGTGGGGGCAAAGGGGGGGGGAGAGGCAATGCCCCCCTGAAAAAATGTTGGCGACCATCGCTCTAAAATACCTGCTGTGACCCTCCCCCCCCTCCCTAAAACCCTACTGGCCCTCCGCTAGCCAGCAAACTGGCTACGGACCTGGGCTGGATACATAATATATTGCATTGAAAATCCACAATTAGTTATGTAAACTCCATGGTGCACATTGCAAACTGATCCTGTTAACGCCAGTCTGGAGAAATAGATTCATGTAAACGGTTTATTCCATGCAATATTGGTCAAATTAGTATCAAATTTTAGATAAATACATCTACTTTTTTTATACAAAGTTAATTGTTTTGTTTAACAATGGATAAAGTAACGATAATTCAAATGAAACCGTATATGTATATGGAGCCAGACCACCATTAAATTTCACCATCTCGGTACGAATTGTAGTTCGTCCATTTATAGCAATTCTTTCTGTCTCTCTTTTCTCCCCTTTTGCATGCCCATTTTTGTTGATTTTTTGGTCTAGAATGGACGAGGAGGGTTTGAATAAACATTTTCTGCCAGGTTTTTGTAAATATTCATGATTTTGAGGCGGAAGGATGACAGGGTTATCAGGTTGGCTACGGCGATATGTACGACAACTAGTTACATGTTTTCAGTTTGCTTCTTCAAGTTTGTGTATCTCAAAATTTTGGTGGTCAACCTCATACAAATTTTAGTGCAAAGACATGACCATTTGTTCATCTGTCTGTAGTGAAAAGCATTCAGCCCAACGAAAATTTTGGGGAAAGTTGGAGGTGGGCAAAGAGGCCAGAATTAACATTGAAGTCAATGGGGAAATTAATGGTGGTCTGCCTACCGAGATGGTGAAATTTAATGGTGGTCTGCCCCCATATGAACTCTCGGGTGACCTTGATCACAAACCGGTTTGGCCTGTCTATATAATGGGAAAGTCAAGGTCATTCAAAGTATAAAAAAAAGAAAGGAAATTTAGATCTGTATTTTATTTAGATTGCAGAATCTCATGTAGAAGTGTTAGATTCACTACTTGGCATAAGAGGGTCAGGTGGGAATGGTTGGGGCGATGCAAGCCTTGGTTACTCTACTAATCAGTACAGATTGCAGACCAGGCCAATAACGCACCTACTTTATTCCCTAAAATCAGCGAGGTGTATCGATAAACAAATACATAACTGCTAATAATGACGAGCTTATCGCGAACAGTACAGAATGTGCACAAGGCCAATAACCCTCATACACGCATTTTACCCCCTAAAATCAGCGAGGTGTATCGATAAACATATACCTGTCTAAGGTACGTTTTGAATTTGTGAAGGTTAATAATATCGACGGAATTAGCAATGGGCGACGAGAAAAAACCTACAGTAAGTAAACTTAATGGTATTGGTTTTAAAGTTTAAGCTAAGTTTTCGATTACTTGTTAATTTCTCCTTCGTCATAATATGTGAAATCAGTAAATGGTTTGAATGGTGGCGACGACTATATACTTTATTCTATACGTAAATCAGACTTGAACTTGTGTGAATAGTTAATATGTCCATATATATACTTGTCAACCATATAAATAAATGATTAATCTTATATATATATGTTACACTGTTCTATTTAGCAAAGGTAACAGCATCTCAATATATGTACCCAATCATAAGGGGACCACGATGACTCAGTGTGTAAGACGCTGGCTCGCTAGCCTGGGGGTCGGGTTCGATTCAGTTGTTGGGCTAGATAGTTCCTCGGGATTTACCCTTGACAGTGGTGCGGGGCAGGGGTATTGACAATGACAACTGTCTAGTCGTTAGGATGGGACAAAAACGAGGTCTCGTGTACACATGGCGTGCATGTAAAAGATCCCTTGATATAGTTGGAATTCGATATAAGAGTAGGCCGTAGTGCCACTATCCGAGCAAAATTTCCCTCATAACACACTGGCGCATGCCCGTCTTCGTTAGCCCAGTCATAAATATAGTTGTTTTAAGATACGAGTGTCTATGTTTTGGGAGAATACCATGACGCTGCACTAGAAGGTCAATAACATTGTAACTGGATGCAGTATGTTTTTGTTGAGCCTATATTTATTTTTTTTTAAACTAGTGCACACTGTTATGATGAGTCATTTGGGAAAAATATAGGCTCGTCAGGGAAATTGGCGAACCGTGCAGTTCACAACCTATGATATAACTACATTTTCTTTGTATTAATATCACAGCAAGTTTGTTATTCGTAGATGGGGGTGAGGGGATGTCGGACCCCGACAACATTTTGACACAAAAGGTGAAAAGAAATTTACATCTCTATTTTAATCAGACTGAACTGACTTTTCGGACTGACGGGTTACGTGAAAAAAAACCCAAACATAATATATCATCTAGTTGGCCAAATAAAGTACCCGAATAAAACACTAATTTGACTTGTGCGACATTTTTAGAGCATCGATATTATTTGCGAAGCGGCTGCAACAGTCTGATTGGATAATCGATATCGAGGTCGGCATAGAATGGGATTTGTGAAAAATTGCACTCGAATTTCGAAAGAGGTACCTCAAATCCTCATGAAATGCCTGCGTCATGTCATCATATTCCCATTGTCTCAATGACAATGACATTGTGCCCTTTTCTCCTGTTGCCCTTCCCTTTTTCCAAACAGATCATGAGATACTAAAACCGAATCGCGCTCAATTACATGCTCCATCGAGAATTCCTCCTTTTTTTCTTCGTTTGTGAGCCTCACTGGGATAATGAACCCATTAGTGCTGCTGGCGGCCGACTGATTGTTGTGTCTCGCATCAAATTTTCTCTGATTCCGGTTTCGATATTTAAAACGTTCGCAGTTTGCAACCATAATCACAATTTCGCATTTTGCCCCGTATTAGCTCTGAGGCCTTGAACCAACTGGTTTCGTTGGGCTCCCATCGTGGTGAAGTATACGTGACATTACTAGAAAACGAAACAAGTTTGATTCACTACTCCTGCACCTCACCCATAGATCATTTTCTCCACGCAATGAGGCCACTGATGTAAGGTATATCAGTACTAGTCCCCTTTGATATTTGTTTTTTGTCCTCCAAATTTCGAAGAAAGCAGGGGACTATTAAAATGGATTTGTCTATGTGTCTATGCTTTGTGACCAGATAACTTTGATTCTAACTGATAAAGAGTGATGAAATTTCACTACCAGGTACTTCAAATCTTCGATCTTAAACATTTTATGCTTAAACTAATTATAGATAATCAGTTTGATTGCTCAATACTTCTGAAAAAGATAAATGTGCAATTAATCAATATGTGTCATCTATATTTTTGGGGATTTCGGTGGGGGACACCGGCCTCACTGTTGTCTTGCCTTTACGCGTAGATCTTTTAGTTGTTGGTTGTTGCTAACTATATTTATGTCCATGTTCAGATCTTCAGGACTTAACCATATGTAATACTATAGGGGGTATTTTAGTTTATTGGAGTGACAGTATACAGACACTAAGCATTTCGGTTTCGCAATCTTTACTTTTACTAGATTCGGCTCCCTTATAAGACAATGTTGACTGAGAATTTCCTCCGCATTTTCTAGCAAGAGTTCCGCTTGTCAGTGGTGCAGGACGGAAGGCCTGCCAAGCAACATCATCTAATTAACAGTTGCAACTGGATGAAGTGTAAGCAGACAGGTCACTGTCCTAAATATCACCCATAGCCGTTGCATGACGTGTGCCCGTCTGTAATGCTACAGATACCAGAAGATCAGCATAATGATAGGAGCTTTATTAAGAACATGAAATAGACACAAGGCAGAAGGAACTCTATTCCAAGTCTGCTTTACCGTCAGTATACTTTGTGTTATATAGCATCAAACAATTAGGGAAGGTGGATACGAACAGGATATAACTTTTTATAAGGATTTTTACAACACAATGTCATCATATATGGAGTTGTTTATTTACCACGGAATTGTATGTATTGCTGTCCACTACACTTTCATTTTAAGTAAATGGCCAGCACAGATACTATGTAGCTTGTCAATGATACGTTGGATTAATTAAGTTTGTAATTCCAACACAGTCACACGTCTTCATAAATCACAGTTTTAAATTCTAGCATTATGGATAATATTGAGTTAGAGGTTAATATTCACAAAGAAACATGTCTAGGAGCCCACCTATAATTGATGGTATATATGTTTTAGTTCTCTTTTGTATAAATCGATAAGTGCATTGTCGTATAAGCGCATTTTAAGCGATGACTGGAAATTAGTTCCAGCGATGTGTTGAGAACGTTTCAGCGTTGACTGGTTGGGTCTTCTTTGCAAATCTAGTAGATAAATCGTGTGAAAAATTCCACGAAAGTTATTTTAAAAAGTATGGCATGATGGTCACTTAGGCATGGATAAAAAAAAAATCAGAAATACCAAGTATGAAGTATAACCTTTAGTTTGGATTGGTTGATTAACGTATGTTGTCGGTTTTCTAGTCGCCTGAAAAATGCTTTTTAACCGAAGGTGTCGCAAAATGATTTGAAGGTGAACCCCCACAATACACGTGTTAAGTGAATATGCCAAATTAAAACAAAAATTGTTAGCGTAAATAATTCATACGTGAAGTGATAAAAAGTGTTAGTTATCCCATTGCGTAACAAAAATTGTTTTTGTTCAATTCAATTCAGTATATTATTATGGGGAAATATATTGTTTAAACGAAAGTAAATATAAGATGCAAAAATAACACGAGTAACAGAGAGAGAGAGAGAGAGAGAGAAATGGTTTTATTTCAATAATTCGCTTGTGTGTAGGGGTCTTTAGCAGTTGGAGGAAACCGAAGGACCCGGAGAAAACCCACGAGCCTGGACAGGCAACCCTACTCCTTGTCATGTACAACCGGGGATTCGAAACCACGCTAGCTGACTCAATGAACATGAGCAACAACATCAGCCTGCTGCAAATCAGACGAATAAAATATTTGAAGGATTTCACTCCCCCAGGTTGACAAGTGATATTCCATTGTTGGACTGTCGCCGTGCAGGATAAATTATTATATCATCCATTTTAATATAACTTCACTGAAGCCTGGGTTGGTTATTGGAAATCTAAAAGTTGTTTGACAGGTTTGGTTTAAATCAAACACTGGGTCATACAATCCAATATACTAGAGTCCGAATTTTTATTACGTTCTTCAACAAGAGACCTAACACCATAATCAATCAATGGCGATACCATGTTCGGCTTGTTCTTCTGTAATTACTGCCTCTGCCATATCAGTTACCGATTTTAACTCCTTCTTAATTCCTCAAACTTTTGACATGTTTTTTTTTTGTCCATCTGTTCTTTTTCTCTGAGTCTAAGATATTGCTTTTAGCTGTGATTTTGAAAAAAAATCACATATACTGGCAGATATCATCCAATATGACAGATGAGACGGTTTGGGGATTACCATGTCGCTTTTAAGACGTCGCTTCGCCCAAATAGATTAATTTCCAATCAACAAAATTTCCATATTGATAACTTTGATATGATTGCATATGTTGGAGAATTGAGGAAAGCCCAATTTGACGAATTATGGCTATATATTTCAAAGAGACATTTCATAATAGATATTAGTTCAGATTTCTAGCTTTCCGCTCGATCCCTGTTGTAGGCAATATTTATTCTAATTATGACCCACTGCTGGTCAGATTCTGTTGATAGGCACATATAAATTTTTCTTTAATAGTGTGGTGTTGTATTTTTATCGGCGATGGAAGGAAGTGATCATGGAAAGACTTATTTTCCTAAGCCATTCGTTTTATAAACATATAGAGTATATCTGTCTGTCTTCGATTTATTTCTAACAAACCCTAAAAGTGAATTGTCATTTTATGTGGGAGTATGTGGTCATCTTCCATACACCACAATACTTGTCAACAAACCATGGTTCAGTGGGAGTATGTGGTTGTCTTCCACACACAATACTTGTCAACAAACCATGGTTTAGTCTCAGTTGTGCTGTGGGTTTTTTTTGTAACTTATTTGACAAGCTGCATCGAGCCCAAAATTGTGCTGGTCCAATGTTCGATCCTGGCGTTGGCCGAGAAATTTCATCGGGATATTCCCCCCTCATTTACGCACTGCATGGGGTATAGCCCGTCTTCATTCGCCTGATCGGAGCCGAAAAGTAGGACGCTAAACTTCATGAATATCCCTCTCTCCTATTAGGCAACATAATGTAGTATTTATTAAATAGTCAGTGAGCCACCCTTGCAGAGATGGCTCCACGAAATACGTACTATTTGCTATACCATATGACTAGAGATGTGGCTTTTTTTACTCTCTCAAATATGTAGCTAAATTTTTATTATCGATATTTATGCTCTGTTAACTAGTTTACTATTTCTATGTAACTTATTGA